GCTCATCCTGTGTCCTTTCTCTCAGATCTTCCCTTTCCTATGGTTCCATATTTACTTTCCTGGGCACAAACTGTACTTTTTTTTTTTTTTTTAAAGGTATGGCAGAATGCATCCTAATTTTATTTATTTCAAAACATTTTTTTTTCTTTTGTCCTTTTCCTTATGACTTTTTCTTATTGCCTAGGACTGATTGGAGGTAATTTTGTTCTGTTGTTTTTTGGTTTTGTTTTGTTCTTTTAACCCAAGGGAATTGTATGGTTTGTTTAATATGTATCACATTGTATTTGTATGGCTATGCAATTCCTGTTAAAAACCAAATAAACAAAGTTTGCAAAAAAAAAAAGAGTATCGGCCGGCTTTTGCGAGTACGAGTATGAGTACTTGATGCTGGTATCGGTATTGGGACACCCCTACATAAAACCATTAAGAGACTAAACTGGAAACTGCTGAATAAAGCAACACACAGCAATGTGTCCTAATAAAAAATCGTTGATAGGGCTGGGTATTGATTCATTATTTAACAGCGTATTATGCAATATTGTAATAAAATCAGGCTTCAAAATGTAATAAACTCACGCTAAAACCGCATTATGTAATAATTGCACAAAATATAACAAAAGTCTTCAACGCATTATGTAATAACGTTATTACATTTTGCAGCAATTGTTACAAAATGTGGTGGTGTAATAATTTGGTGCATTGTGTAATAAACAAAAACAAGTATCTCTGTTCATCCCAATCAATATACTTGTAATAACTGTCATGTTGCAAATACTGCATAATTAAATCTTTATAACTTTGGTCAATAAACACTGAACTTCTCATCTTTTACTTGCATTTTCAGTCAAATTCTTGTGTATATGGATGTACAGAGCAATCTCACTGATTGTTTTCATGTTTTATGGAATATTTCAAAAACTTTGTTTCTAATTTATTCTACATGTCAGAGCCTGTAGGACGTTGTTCGGTTTTTTAACCTGGGAACTCAGAGGAACCACAACAAGCCCGGCCGAAACATTAATCAATTGACAACAGAGACCAGTAAGATTTATAGATCACTTTGCAAAGAGGAGAAATTCAGTGATACTTAGCTCAGACGTAAGCCTGGTGAGGATCAGAGAAATTCTGCCCTCTGGGGGCGTGAACAATCGTTTTATTCAGACATGTAAG